ATTGGAGTTTATAAAGCATTCAAAATCTGCTGACCATCATAATTTTTTTAAGTTATGGAAGAATACTGGTATTTTTTTGTTGCTTTATAATTTAAATTGCAATCATTGTGACCAGCTCCACGATATTGACCAGAAGAATGGCAATGATCTTTCACCCTATCAAAATATAGGGATTTTTCACAAATATGACAATGTGTTTAATTTTGGAAAGATATTTCTTGCTCAGGAGTTATTACTAGGGGAATATATATTGCCATTTGATTTGTAATATAATCATAAGTCTGAAATAATCTTTCAAAAAACACGTCCATTACATTTGTGCCACTGTACAACTCTTCAGAAATAATTTTTGAATCTCTTACTACGACAAATTCAAATCCCGATGGAATATGTATATTGGAGTTTATAAAGCATTCAAAATCTGCATAAATTACATATGGAGCTTTAAGTTGATATTTATAATTTTTAAATTGTAATGTATCTTGTTTAGACATTTCCACTCGTTAGGCATCAACAATTTTACAATATGTTGTGTGACGTTCTAATTTATCATTAGGGTAAAAATGTTGCAAACACAACATGCAAAAATACTTCTTATTGTTATTTTTTGTAGACCGCAGCATTAACTTATCAAAATCACGATTTAAACAGTAATGTGATTTACGACCTTCTTGTAATAATAATAAATCCACATGAGTATTACTATTTAGTTTGGTTGTTTTTAATGGACATATACATTTCTGGTCTTCAACTCCAAATACATTGACACTTATATTATTCTGTCTTTCAAATTTATCTATATCAGATATTTTTACGGGATATTTTATATTTGTCATATTTAACTGTGTATCATAGGGTGTATAGTTAGAAACTCTTTTAGCATTTTCATTTTTAGCATTCCTTGGATATAAATCTGCTAAAATTGACCAAAGGAAGCATTTATTGTCTGAGTTTTGTATATTTAGAACTGCTTTTGTCAATTGAATACTTTTTGGTGTTGGAATATATGACTTTGGAGTCAGGAGCTTATACTTGTTAACATGTAACTGCCAATATTTAGTATGGTCATATATCCATCCACTGCCTTGGGCTTGATATTTATGAATCGACGCGTCAATCTTTAAAAGTGCATTTTCTATTTGAGACTTTAAATCTCTCTTCTCAATGGTTAGGATAGTAAGGCTTCTAAAATCTGCAATACATTCTTTTTCATTAACTAATTTTCCATTTTGATCTATTGTATATTTAATAAATTTGATTCTCCTTATTAAAGTCCATTTTATTGGCAGAGGACAAGACTGACGAGTATTTTTAAGTTTAGTTTTAATCGATTCACCAACAAATTTAATCATTGTATATGGACATTTGTTGCAATAATTTACATGTCTTTTAAAATGATCAACAACATTTCTTTTACAGAAACTACAAGTTCAAAAATAAGGACTTTAATGTTTAAGTTTCACTACCAAATAAAACTACCTGATCTGTTGAGAAATACTCTTTAGTAGATATTACATTTTGACAATTTCAATTAATGAGAAATAATAATTTAAATCAGAATTCTAAATTTAAATATATGTTTTAATATACAAAACAATTGTATACAATAAGATTTGACAATTGCCATTTTCAAAATCAAAAATAAATCTTAAAAGTTAAATTTGTTAATCAAACAATACTTTTTAGCTATTCAGAATGTTGAGTCTACATTTATACAGTGTGTGTGCTATAGGAAAGACTACCTATGTTACTTCAGTGAGTGAAATTTAGCTAAAATCAGGACTTAGTACATTTTTTTACAAGCCCCTTAGTGAGTGAAATTTGGCTAAGTTTTTAAAAATTAGGACTTAGTAAAGTTTTGTATAGTAGAAGTCACATGAAAAACGACAAAGTGTAATTGGAGAAAAATAATATAAATTTTAAAGAAAAACCTTGTAAAAAAGTTCAAAAATTGGGACCTTAATGTTTAAGTTTCACTGTCACAATTATATTGAGAAATACTCTAAGTTTCAAATAATAAATACACAGACAGGCAGTCACTTAACTAAGTGTCATTTCCGCACGAGCAAGCGAGGAAGTGTTGAGACCATTGCAATTAATTATGCAGACAGCTCACTCCCAGACATTCTATTCGATGTCGGGACAGGGTTGTGGCGACGGATGTCTAGACAGGTCCACGGTGCCAACGCCTTCCACTAGCTCAGCCTGCATATGCAAAAAAGCTTACCAGAGAGGAGAGCAGATCAAGATGGCTGCGCTGGCTGCGATGGAAGGGGACTGACTGAAGGAACTGGTTTTTCCCACCTTTTATACAATACCCGATGGCTGAATTTTCTACAATTCGTGAAATAATTTTTACAATTATTGCATTGTAATTGTTAAATTTATTTTAACAATTTCTGGCGAAAGTAAAAATATGAAATTAAAAATCCAATTTGACACCTGTCACCTGTCGTCACATCAATCACGTCAATGTGTCTGGCACCAGGGACTTGTCTAGACATATGTCGCCATGCCCCCCTCCCATTTTCTCATTCACTCTCTCTCTCTCTCTCTCTCTCTCTTTCTCACTCCCGCGCCACGTTCTCTCTCTCTCTTTCAATACCCCCCTCTCGACATTGAATAGAACACCTGAGACTGGTCTGTCTGTATGATTAATTGCAGTGGTATGGACGCTTCCTCGCTTGCTTGTTTGGGTTCACCGAACCTTGGCGGAGGTGCCCGAAGTCGCCTTGATGTGTTGTCAGTGTCACTGTTGATGGCGAGAAGACCGGTCGCGCTCAAGGCCAGGAGCGCACCCAAGTTCACACGCAAACCTCGCATGATTTTGAGAATATACATGTGAATGCATGTGGATTTGAAATAGTAATGAAGTTGTACAATGGTATTGAACATTAATATAGGCTTGTATAAGCCGAGAGTAGGATTTTTGGAATTGGTGGCTAAAAAAAAGCTTTCCATGTTATTCTTATGGGGAAAACGTGCCTAAAGTGACATCATATTCTTCTATTGTCACTACTAAAGGGCATCAAAGAAAGGGATTTTCAGTTAAGGGCTAAAGTTGGGGAACGGTGGCGCCCGGTACTAGTTATTGGCATTAGATCAAACTCAATTCCCTTTGTTTTCAACAAAACGTTTTTAAGGTTAACCGCAGACTGCAGGACTTTCAGAGCAAAGCCGGAATGTATATATTTTTTAACATCTGTTAACTAAGTCTGGTTCATAAATACAGAGTTTCCTAGCAATACTAGACAACAAATTGTTTGTAATTGTTGAATTGGATTACTTAAATGCAGGTATCTAAACCACTTAAAAAATAATTTAACAGTGCTAGAATACGTGTCACACTGATTGGCGTCAAGAGTAGGATTTTACTTGTATTTTGTCAGATTGTTTTACATTAGGTGTGAAAAGCTCACTTTACAGTGTGTGGTTGATATCTTCGTGTTCATAGAGTACACCCGCCAACCGTGCATAAAATATAACCAAAGCAATATGAGAGCGGATTTATATTTAAATATTGTAGATTACTTTTATAATTTTTTACAACATAATATTTGTCATATTTCTATAATTAGTCATATAAATTACTTTAGAGTTACTCTTGGATTGAGGTCTTGCTGTTGTTTATTTTTTTATTTTTTTATTGCAAGTTTCAGTTTTGCTCGACTTCGAGCAACGGGTTATCTAGTATGTGTGATTAATGTTAAAGAAAGTAGAACTGAACTTAGTTTTTTATTGCATTGTAATTTTTAAGAACTTACGATATAGTTCTGTAATATTTTTGTAGTTGTTTAAGCATTTTTATAGTATGGACACTGAGGTTTAAAAGTTAATGGCGAGTTAGTCCACACAATATCATTCACATCAGAGGAGAAGGTGCATGTTTATTTACATCGCTCTCATTCATAATTCACCTTAATCACATACACACTAACTGTGCGTGAAGCAATTGTTGAACATGTTGTGAGGAACTAGGACTACTTCTCAATCTTATCCCACGACAGTGACGGGAATAATTACCTTAACTCCAGGGAATACTTGAAGTATTACACACTTCTATGAAATGTCTAAGCGATTTATGTGGGTTGTGTGAGCTGGTTGCGGCTTCACAAATGTTCACATTTGTTTTCGAGGTTTATCGGAATGGTGAATTTATTATAGACCTATGTCAAGTTTGGTGGTGAACGTAACCCCGCGAAAAGACTCAGATTTACACAATCACTGTCTAGCGGGAACTTTGACATTTTACAGCCACAAAAGAGCCCGTTTTCCCAATTGTCAGTCGATCCCAGTATCTCAACAAAATACATTAAGGCGTAAACGGCGTAGCAGGTGCACAGACAAACAAAGGAAGTAGCAGGCGAAGGACGCAAGGAAAAAGTATGAACAAACTCATCCTGAAAGACATTCACCACCGATTCAATGGATGGTGAAAAATGTTTCAGCGATGACATATAATCCGAAAATAGACTATGAAGGAGATAGCTCTGTGGCGATAGGTACCATGACGTTCAAATGTAAGTACTGCGAGGCCTTAAAATGGAAAGAAGAAACACCGGGCAAGTGCTGCAATGGTGTTTAAAGTGCAGCTACTACCTATATAAAAATTAAATAAAAATAATTTATTGTTTATTTAATGTGATTTATTTCACGAAAATCTGGCACTTAAACACTACTTTGTTAAAAATGTCAACAAATTTGAAAGTTTCCGTAGCGAAGCACGGGTATTCCGCTAGTCAATAATATATTCCAACCAAGGGTCACAATGAATTGTATTGTAATTCGTTCTAAATGGTTATCGGGCATATAGGCTAACATTTATAACTCACGTGGATACACAATAATATTGATTTTAATATGTATTATATATTAAAATCAATACTAACAAACATCGTACATCGTATCAGTAAACGAACTGCAGGGCCAAAAATGTAGCAGCGCAATTTGACAGTACTAGTTTTTAAAGCTTATAGGCCTACTCAACCATTTTGTTTTACCTTAGACATCGAGCTATTTCAGCAGCTTGACCCTCCATTCGGTGCTTGCCTGAGTCTATCCTAGGCAGAAAACTGGTGGTTGGCTTTGGCATTGTGTGGTGGTTCACTTTTGCTACTGAAATATTACATGCGATTAGATACGTATAATTATTACAATTACACATTTGGGATTAAAGTTGCACCGTTGCTCTAGAATAATGTACTAGATATTAGTATATATAAATATATGTATTTACATATTAGTTTAGTAGATATTCACTTTTAGTGGTGAAGTAAGTGTCGAGTCTACAGGGATCTCTTTACAACAGTCACGTGACTAACTGCCACAACACATAAGAACCGACTTGCTGAAACATATTCTGCTGAAATCCACATTTTGTAACACACTGTTTCAATAAGAATAAAATTGAGTAAAGTATATTTTTAAAGACAATTTTTCCTTTCCTACGTTAACTGGGTTAGGTTAGTCTATTAGCAGAATCACTTGTATATTGATGGATTTTCAAATTTATAAATACTTTCATTCAATAGTGACCGTTAAGCATGATGTAATTAATTAAAAAAACCCCATCGACATTTTCCTAGTACGAATGACAAATTCATGTGGTCTGATTAATTACTGATTTGTAAAATTTTTGTATTAGCATTGACTATTGGATACTGTTGTATTAATAGTCAAAGGTAATAGTGAAAAATTTATGTTTAATTTTGTTTAAAAATAATAAATGTTAAGGACCATGGTGGAAATAAAAAAAACTTGACACAATAGATATCACTAGAATGATGTGATGAATCAACGGGCAAGAGACAAGGGTTGGGATATAGGATAGAGCAAGACATTTGTTGAATATGGAAATATTATGGGCTAAAAGCCAAATCAGAAAACTTTGGACTTGATTTGAATTTCTTAGAGGGATATATATCTATACCTATCTATATATTAATAGGCAAGCATGTTTCTTTAACATATTTTTTCTCAGTTCGTGTGCATCGCAGAGAAAATCTACGCATACTGTTAGAAAGATATTTTCCTCTTGATGTGCAGAATCCCTTTATAAATAAAATTCGGCTAAAAAATAAGCTCAATAAATCAATTTGAAATTTCAAAAAAATTACATGGGCTGGGTTGCCATGATGATGGCGAAATAACAACTAAATATAAACAGAAAATCAACAAATTGAATTGAAGAAATTCCAATCACTAGTTTTATTTACAGCGTGGGGAAAAATAGAGAAGTCTGTACATCACATATTTTTAGTCGAGTTTTCGAAAACTGGACGACCTCTAGTGATATATTAATAGGCAAGTATGTTGCTTTAAAAACTTTTTTCTCAGCTCATGTGCATCACAGGGGAAATCTACGCATACTTTTAGAAAGATTTTTTTTCCTGTAGATGTGCAGAATCCCTTTATAAATTAAAATATGCTCAAAAATAAGCACAAAAAATGAGTTTAAATTAAAACAAGAATTATCATGGATCTTATGGGTTGCCATGCTGTTGGCAAAATAACAACGAAATATAAACAGAAAATCAAAACAAATGGAAACACTCCAATTTACATGTTTATTTACAACGTGGGGTGAAAATAAATAAGTCTGTATATTACAATCATATTTTTGATCGAGTTTTCGACCACTGGACGACCTCTAGTATGATATGAATTATGTGTTTTAACGTGTTTTTTCTATGATAATTTTGTTCACATTATTCGAAATCTAGTATTGGATACTCAAATACCAGATTTCTGAGGGGATATTTGAGATGTTCCAAAATTATCCTCATTGTTTACTTTTGAATTTGTATATAAGTTGAATGTTAATAAACCATGTGTTATGTATCCAAACACCTCAGAGGCCTACTATTAGCTAAATTCATACCTCTAAATTATCACATGTGTTTACATGCAGTAAAAAGGGCAAAAGATTCCACCTATTGTAAATTTCTATATTTCACATTCTCATCAAACACTGTCATTTATTTAATAAGCTAAATTTATAATCACTGGAAGTTATTTATACAGTTTGAATTATTTTACAAAATTATTTTTCTCTTTCACTTTCAAAAATGTAATTAAAATACTCTTCATATAATACCAACCAATCATAAAAGTAACAGTGAATAGTGACATCAAGAAACCAGTGAACTAATTGTTGAAACAGATGTATGAAATTGAACATCAGGAATCAAGATTTATTCAATTGAGAATAAGTAATGAAGAAGCAAGACAGGAAGATTTTTTAAAACTTTTAATTGGTGATTTAACTTTACAGTACCTATTTAAAATATCAAGATTTTTCTCAATTATTTAATACATATCATTTTTACCTCAAGAAATATATTTGTGGAGAAGACTACCATAAACTTTTGGGTGAGATCAAACTGAACTTGTACTTTGCTAAATCCTCACATTCCAAAATTTCTATTGGCTTTTGCCGTTTTGAACTTTTACCTAAATTATAATTTTACTAAATTCAAAATTTGAACTTTCTTCTATTCAAAAGTGTAAATTGAACTGTACATAACTTGTGATGAACATTAGGCTTATGCCTATACAACATCACATAAGCCTACTTTAAGCCGGCACATTCCTAGTACCCTGAGATTAAGAGTTTCATCTAAATTTATAACCCTACTTATTTGTACAATTTGACTAATAAAAGGTTTATATGTATTCATCATTGTAATACCTGGACATTTATTTATTACTTATTTACCAAACAAAGATTAAAGAACTTTACATAAACCTTTTATTAGTCAAATTGGTAAGATGATCATTTTTTGCAGTGCAGTGAATTCCTTTGGCTAATTCATGGTGTGGATGTGGGTTTACTTTGCAACGTTGGCATGAGTCGCAGGTCGCTAATGTGGTTCTGATTCGCCTCCCCATATATCTTTGAATATAAAGCACTCTTGCAGGATGGTAAGACACTTTTTCGCCCCGCAATGAAGGTAGTGGTGATGACATTCCCAAATGAGTTTGTTGATGATGTTCTCTGGTGTAGCTATCAGCCAGCTGTCTCGATGCTTCCGGTAAAGTACTTCTTGGTCCAATTTATAGGTCCGTGATATCTGTTCATACAAGGGTGAATCAGGTCCAAGTCTAAGAGTAGCATATGGTATTCTGAGGATGGGATCTTCTGCTTGAAGTCTGGGCAAATTCAAAAAGTCATTACGCAGCTGAGGGTTGATGATTCTCTTAATGTAAGAGACGATGAGCTCAGGTGAGGAATGAGGTTGAGAATCGGAGGTTGATGGATGGATGATCCGGCTCAAGGTGTCAGCTGTCTGGTTGTCCGTTCCTTTGCAGTGTTCGATCTCGAAGTTGTATTCTTGAATAGCCAAAATCCATCTGGTGAGTCGGTTATTTAACAGTCTGCAGGTTTTCAAGAATGTGAGGGCATGATTATCAGTTAAAATCTTCAATTTGGAGCCTAATATTAAATAGCGTGTTTTTTGTAGGCAGTAAACAATTGCTAAAAGTTCTTTCTCCGTGGTAGTAAAGCGCTGTTCAGCTGGTTGTAATACACGTGATAAAAATACAATAGCTGCTTTGCTTCCATCATCCTTTAATTGATAGAGATGGCCTCCGATTGCGTAGTCACTCGCATCGGTTTGTAGGATGAAAGTTTTAGTGATATCAGGGTGATGAAGTATGTTAGTTTGAAGGAAAAGCGATTTAATTTTGTTAAAAGTGGTATCATCTTCAGGAGTCCAAATAAATTTATTTTTCTTTGAAGTAAGCCGAAATAATGGTTTAATAGTTTCAGAGTAGTGATCAATAAATTTATTATAATAGTTGATACAACCTAAAAATGATTTTAGCTGTTTTCGACTAGTTGGAGTAGGAAAATCAAGTATCGGTTGGACTTTGCTTTGATCCATTTGTAGGCCAGATTCGGTTAGAGTGTAGCCTAGGAAAGGTATGGAACTTTGACAGAAAGTAGACTTGGAGAATTTCACTGTCATATTAGCCTCAGTTAATTTCTTGAGAATAGTTTCAATATGAATTAAATGATCGGAAAAGTCAGAACTGATGATGCAGATATCATCCACATAAATAAGAGTAAAGTCTTCGATTTCATTAGCAAAAACTCTGTATAATGCATGTACAAGAGCGGCTTGTGAAGTTGATACACCAAAGGGGACTACTTTATAGTGATAAGTGTTACCGCGGAATTGAAATCCGGTATAAGGTCGAGATTCAATATCTAAAGGTATCTGCCAGTAAGAAGCGGTTAAGTCGATACTAGTTAACCATTTAGCATTACAGGCTTTTGCTAGAAGTTCATTCACGCTTCTATAACATTCATAATCAGGCACTAGGATTTGATTTATTTTACGAGCATCCAGACATAAACGTATTTCTCCGGATTTCTTTATGATTTGGATTATAGGATTTATGTATGTACTGTTGCTTCTTTCAATTATTCCTAAAGTTTCCATACGGTTTATTTCCTGTATGACAGCGTCTTGATGTGCGAGTGGCACAGGATAAGATTGACATTTGAATGTAGTTGGTTGCTTTACTTCAAGATGATGCTGGTATTTGTTACATAATCCTGGAGCGTCCGAAAATGTATCTTGATATTTGAGGAGTAAATTGACAAGTTGACTTTTCTGTTCGGTGTCTAGTAGTTGGTTTTGTTCAATAGTATCAGCTATAGTGTCAGGATTAATTGTGAGTGTTGGTATATTGGAGTGGTGTAATGTACCATAATTATCATATTTATTTAGTATATGATTTTCATGTGAATTTTCATCATAATCATATATATCATCATAATCATCATCGTTGTTGTTCATTAAATAGCACAAAATTCCTTCATAATAATTCCCGTCAAACTTCAATAACATGTCATTGTTATTTATATTCAAGTTTATTATATTGTCATTAAAGTTTATTGTCATTTTCCATAATTTAATTGTATCCGTTCCTAATATAAGATTGTGTACTAAGTTAGGTACCATGATTAATTGTAAAGTACTTTTTACACCATTAATACTGACATTCATAAGTAGTATTTTCGAAACCCGTTTAGATTTTTCGCCAACTGCGGTCTTTATATGAACACCTGTCAGGGGTAATTCTTCAAATTGTCCTAGTCTCGTTTTATTTTCTATTATCCATTGTTCAGATATACAAGTTACATTTGCTCCTGTATCTAAAAGAGCTGTGGTTGGTACATTATTTACAAATAGACTAATTTCAGGACATTTGTAAGTATTATTAGAATTTTCAAGAAAATTATTTGTGTCCTTTAAGTCATCTTGGAGTAAGAAATTCCTATCACACATAATATTGCTAACGTTGGTTAAATTTTCAAATTTGTTCTCAAAGTTATATACAGGTTTAGGCCGTAAAATTCCGATTTTTTGAATAAGCACTGAAGAATCGTTTGATGGTGAAAGAGGTGTAAACAATGAGGAAAGTTGATTCTGGGCCTTTGGTTCATCAGTGCTTCCTAGCTTAAAGCCTGATGATTTGGATTTATGTAATTGGTAGTTCCGGTAGTAGGGTTGCTTTTGTCTATAATTGCAGAACATACTTGGGACTGTTCTTGAGACGGGTACTGACGTTCTTCACGGTGTGGTGAGTTGGTGTTGTTGTTTGGTCTCTGGAAGTTGTAGTTTCCTCTTCCTCTGAAATTATAATCTTTCCTGTAGATGTTCTGTTGTCCACTGCTGTAGTTCTGTGGTTGACTGTATCCCCTCGAAGACTGGTTGTAAGAGCCATGGTTGTACTGCTGGTTCGGGCGAGTTGGACTGTTTGGCTGTCTGTTCGGCTGGTGGTGGTTACGATTACCCTGTTGGTTACTGGAATTGTGAGTACGTGGGTGTGATGGTTCATAGCGGTTGGACTTTGAAGTCATGGTCCGTTGATGAGCGTCTTTGAGGTCCTCTCGTTGTAATAGCAGCTCAAACTCGTGTACCGTGGTGACATTCTTGACTCGTCTGGCATCTTGTACTAATTCTGAAAAATGGTCGGACAGGATTACAACGATTTCTTCGTCGGTCAAAGGAGGTGTTATCGATCTTAGTGTCAAGACTTTCTCTATAAAATATTCGGCTCTTGATAGTCTGCCATCCTGTCGATACTTTTCAACATCGATTCTTTGCTTGATACCACGTTGAACCTCGTGACTCCAATATTTGCTCAAAAACATTGCCTCGAAATCGGTCCAATTTTTTATTTGATATTTGACCAATTCAAACCATTTAGATGCGTGGTGGTCAAGACATTGTTCAATTACATCCAATAAATGTTCAGACTCGTCGTTTGATTTCTGATTGTCAACATTCCGTTCGTAAAAACGTTTAAGCTTACTCAAAAATTCTTTTGGATTTTGTGTCTTTCCGTGAAATTTAGGTGGGTTAATGTCTAGATAATGTCTGTTAGTTCCCGGACAAGTAACATAAAGAGGCGTTATTGTACTAGTTGATTTGGAAATCTGTTGTTCCATGTTATTAATTCGATAACTATGGTTGTCTGTTATTGAATTTAGTTTGACCAAGTTCTCGTTCTGTCCTTCGATTTTAGTAACTAAATCGTCATTTTGTTGTTTTAGGTTATTTTGGCATATATTTATCTGTTGTTGCAATTTAGAATCAAAATTTCGGGTTAGGTTATTGCTCAAAGTAGCAATATTTTGATCAATAGTGATCTGATTAGTCTCAATTTTAGTATTTAATTCATTACGGATTTCTTGAGATTTAATTTCGATCTTTTTGTCAACATTCATTTCAATAGTATTTATTTTGAGTGAGTGTTCAGATAAGGTATTGTGGATAGCTTCAATTTCAGACTTTACGGTGTGAACATCTGATTTGAGATTAGTTATGTCGTGAGAGATAGCATTTACATTATTTTCTATGGATTTAATATCCTTTTGAAGGTCATCTCGCATCAAACTAATATTTTGGTTGAGTTCATTTTTGAGATCATTTAAGCGTATATCACTGTCTTGTTTGATTGTGTTCATATTTTGATTTACTAGATTTATGTCTTGTTTCAGTTCACGAAACAAATATGTAATTTGTGTTAGGATGTTGGAATCATTAGTGTTGCCGATCGGCTGGTGTGACTCATTCATTGGATTGGTCAGTGAGCCAGTTTTGTTTGGTTCATTCAACTGCAGATCAGCTGTTTCGTCGTTCTGGTCGCTTGGAGTAGTACACATTTTGTCACGTGACGTCATACTGCCTTTTTCTGTCTGACGATCCAGATCCGCCATCTTGATCTTAGGATTAGAACCTACACTGTCGTTAACCTCAATAACGTCTGTTTCTAATGGATTTCTATCGCTTTCCAGACCATGAAAAATAATTGATTCTGGGATTCCTCCAAATTAAATATGATGATAATTGTTACTTGTTTCAACATTATTTGTAGTGTCTATAGTTACTAGTGTATTTGAATGTGTTTCGTTGGTTAGAGTTGCTTGACTAGAATGTACGGTGTTGCTTACGGCATCTTGGTTGCTAGTATCATTGTTGGTTGTAGTAGACCTATTTCTTAAATTATATGCTTTATCTTCCATAATATCGTATAACAGTGATCAATAATAATAGTTCAATATATGGATGAGGTGTTGTGAATGATATATGGTTATGGATGTGCACACAAGGTTAGTTATTCTTATGCTTAGAATTTAGGTTGTCATAGGCCTATTACATCGAGATAGGTTTGGAAGTTATTTTGTATTGGATAATATCACATAAGCTACTTTTTTGCCACACGTTGCAGGCGCCAATGTAAAGTTCTTTTACCTTTTGTTTGGTAAATAAGTAATAAATAAATGTCCAGGTATTACAATGATGAATACATATCCACCTTTTATTAGTCAAATGGTACAAATAAGTAGGGTTATAAATTTAGATGAAACTCTTAATCTCAGGATTCTAGGAATGTGCCGGCTTGAAGTAGGCTTATGTGATGTTGGATAGGCATAAGCCTAATGTTCATCACAAGTTATGTACAGTTCAATTAACACTTTTGAAAAGAAGAAAGTTCAAATTTTGAATTTAGTAAAATTATAATTTAGGTAAAAGTTCAAAACGGCAAAAGCCAATAGAAATTTTGGAATGTGAGTATTTAGTAAAGTACAAGTTCAGTTTGATCTCACCCAAAAGTTTATGGTAGTCTTCTCCACAAATATATTTCTTGAGGTAAAAATGATATGTATTAAATAATTGAGAAAAATCTTGATATTTTAAATACTGTAAAGTTAAATCACCAATTAAAAGTTTTAAATAATCTTCCTGTCTTGCTTCTTCATTACTTATTCTCAATTGAATAAATCTTGATGTTGATGTTCAATTTCATACATCTGTTTCAACAATTAGTTCACTGGTTTCTTGATGTCACTATTCACTGTTACTTTTATGATTGGTTGGTATTATATGAAGAGTATTTTAATTATATTTTTGAAAGTGAAAGAGAAGAATAATTTTGTAAAATAATTCAAACTGTATAAATAACTTCCAGTGATTATAAATTTAGCTTATTAAATAAATGACAGTGTTTGATGAGAATGTGAAATATGGAAATTTACAATAGGTGGAACCTTTTGCCCTTTTACTGCATATAAACACATGTGATAATTTAGAGGTATGAATTTAGCTAATAGTAGGCCTAGGAATATACAAATTCAAAAGTAAACAATGAGGATAATTTTGGAACATCTCAGTTTTAACGTGTTTATTTATTGTGTGCAGTCAGACATGAAAGAATCTATTGAATTGGTTATATACTAGATCAGTTCACAATACTAGGGGTAATACGATCACAGTTACTCAACTGTCACCGAAAGGTAAGGTCTCACACAATAGGAAACAACTGATGTTAAAATGAACTGTTATGTCCTGTATGGAAACTATTGATCGTATTAGCCATATATATATATACTGTACATATATACTGTATATATGGATAAAACGTAAAAAGTAGACCTTTTACACATCTCCCGAGAAACTTTGTAGATGTTCCCATGTTCGTAACTAAAAACCTCAAATTTAACGCAGTATACTTTAGTATTTATTTATATTTTATGCCAATGGCATTTTTAACGTTTTGAACATGATATACTGTATCGAAACCCTGCTCTTACTACGACCATTTGTTAGATATCATCATTCATTTATGGCCCAATGACAAATATTGACATCTGAATCCAGAACCAGACGTACTGTAGGCAGCACAGGGCACACCCGTGTAGGCGTGGGTGGCGTGGTAACAGCGATGTGTGCCGTGGGTGCAGACCAGTGGGTCCACAGGCACCGTGTCCAGCAGCGAGTTGCCCGCCCGCGTCTTGCGAAGAGCTCTGGTCAACTTCTCCAGGTCATCCGAGGACTTGAGTCGTGGAATGATACGTCGGTCCGAGCTCTGCAGCAATCTTAGCTGTTCTAAAAGACCAAACATACCATGTCAACACTACTTCAATGGAGAAAATCAAATGACCTACACCAAAGAATCAATCGGTTGGCATCTGTAGTTGTTAAATGAACTTATTTTAAAATGTTTTTATTAGCTCGCTTGCTTGTCTGTTCGATACAAATTTTGCAATAAATTTCAAACTAATTTCCCGATGAGCTAGAGACTTAAAACTTGAAACAAAGCTCACAAATGGATGACAATGCAATATTAAATCATTTAATTTTCATATTTCCCTTGGGCTACGCCCCATTGGCTTCCAAAGTTTCAATGTTTACATTTTGGAAGAATGTAAATAATATATATCTATTATTGGCTTTAGCGTAGCGTGTGGAAATCATACAACTCCTCCTCTGATTGCACTTTCTATGAACAAATGAATGTCAATATCACGAAATAATTGTAATTTTATACCAGTCCTTCTAAGACAAGCCTCCCATGTTAACCCAGGAAGTGAATACATATGTACGGGGTCAAGTTTTTAATCTTTTAACATAGGTCTCTAATTCACACAGGCTCTAATTCACATTTAAGGTCTAAAACACATCAGCCAATAGCAATACATCTGTTTTAAGATATAAATCATGATATTCTTGTAAGTTTTATATTAAAATAGGTCCAGACATGTTTTGCAAGTTCATATTCATTGGGAGAAATATGTTCTTTAGTTATAGTACTGTAAAATGTTTCTATTGGAGAGAGAGACTCTGAAAACTTATCTGGTCCCGTCATATATTCATAGGGAAATACGCCTTTGCGTTGTAGTAGAGGTTTATCTATAAATCTAAATGTATTCAAATTAGAAGCTAATTTGTATAATGGAAGGGACAGAAAGTTGTAGGAATCAAAAAATATTAAATCATCGACAGAGAATGAAATGTACTTTTCCATATCTTTGGCTATGCAATTCAATTTACGATTAAACTTACCTAAGTATTGCATTATTAAATGCCCATCATAATTTTTTAAGTTATGAAAGTGTTACATATTAAATAAAAGATTGGTAAAATAAAATAGGTGTATTCTGAATTGAATCCTAAATAACAATGATTGTAAACAAAAACAAAGTTAACTTATTAAACATAACATATGGTATTTTGTTAAACATACAGTATGTTAGAAAAGACACATAAATTTTCCCCCTTTAAAGTCTTGATCGCAGCATTTGATCTACATGTCGTCTGCATGTTACTCCGTTCTCCAGTTCAACGTTGTAATGTAGATTTCCATCTCTTGATGTAACTTTTCCGAAACTCCATTTTGTCTGACCCTTGTAGTAGTTTCTCACTTGAACACGGTCTCCCACCTTAAATATGCGTGTTATACCTTTAGGTTTGTCTTTTGAGTCCTCGATTCTAGAAGGTATCATAACACTGAGGTATGTTCTTACTTGTCTGTTGGACATGAGATAGTATGCCGAGTTTCCTGTTGAGTTTGGTACTTGACGGAGTTGAATTAACGCCTTGTGAATTTTACTGTCAAGTGTTCCTGGTTCATCTAATATGGACTTCAACTTCTTCTTTACTGTTTGTACAAAGCGTTCAGCTTGTCCATTAGATGATGGGTGGAACGGAGCAGTCGTTTTGTGTTGAGTTCCACATGACTTAAGAAACTCTTGAAAAGTAAGAGAAATGAAACTTCGTCCATTGTCTGAAATTAGGAGGCTTGGAAGACCAAAAGTACTAAAAAGTTTCTTCAACTCCTTAATAGTCCAATCGGTAGTTGCTGTTTTTGTGGGTATTACCTCTACCCATTTGGAGAAGGCATCAACAACAATGAAAAATCGTTGTCCATTTATTGGGCCCATGAAATCAATATGTATTCTCTCCCATGGCTGAGTTGCTGGTTCCCAAGGATGGTTGATCTCTTTCGTTGGAGAATTTTGTTTCTCACGACAAGGCTTGCAAACAGCAATCATGTTTTCAATGTCTTTATCCATTCCTCTCCAAAAGCAGTAACTTCTTGCCAAAGCTTTGGTTTTTACTATACCAATGTGCCCGTAGTGTAGTTCATTGAGAATTCTTTTCTTGAGGGAATTTGGGATGATTACTTTCCACCCTTTGAAGAGGCATCCTTCATGTAATGTAAATGTAATGTAATGTAACTTCATTATCGTGAAATCCCAATGGCTCTAATGATTGACCTTCCTCAAGAGCCTCAAGAATTTGTTTTAGATATGCGTCCTTCTTAGTTTCTTCGGCTAGTTCTTTGGGATTGATAGTTATGGTGTTCAATTGGTTTGTTTGAAAATGTCCAAACTGGTCAATACTTGTAAATTTTGAATCTTCCACAGGAAATCTTGAGAGGAAATCTGCATTCCCATGGTCACCAGTTCTCTTGAATTCAATTGTGTAGTTAAATCCTGATAAAAAATGGGAGTAGTTGAATAGTCGCGTAGCTGACATTGACGGTAGGCTCTTGTTGGGATTGAAGATTGACACTAATGGGTTATGGTCCGTGATGAGTGTGAAATGACGTCCGTAGCAATAAGAAAAAAATTTCTTCAACCCCCAGTATATACCTGTGGCTTCTTTATCGATTTGGCTGTAATGTTTTTCAGCATTGGTCAATGATCTTGAAGCAAAAGCTATAGGCTTTTCACTTCCATCTGGGAAACGATGTGATATCACTGCTCCAAGTCCCACAGGTGAAGCGTCAGTTGCAAGGATCAATGGCAGGTCTGGGTTAAAGTGACAAAGAACTGTGTCACTTGTTATTCTTTTCTTGATGTTTTGGAAACTTTCTTCACACTTACTGTCCCATATGAATGACTGCCCTTTTTTTAGAAGTCTATGTAAAGGATTTAAAACAGTGGACAAATTCTTTACAAACCGGTTGTAGTAATTAACAAGTCCTAGGAAAGATCGGAGTTCCTGTATGTTTTGAGAACTTCGTGCATTTGTAATTGCTGTGATTTTATCCTTACTTTTGTGGATTCCAGTGGCGTCAATAACATGTCCTAAGTATTCAATTTTCTTTTGAAAAAATTTGCACTTGTCACGGTTCAACTTCAAATTTTGACTCCTTAAACGCTCAAACACTTGCTTTAGTCTTTCTAGTAGTTCTTTTGATGACGTTCCTTGAATTATTATATCGTCGAAGAAGCACTGAACACCTTGAAGGTCTTGAAGGATTCCGTCCATCACCTTTTTGCCAAACTCCTGGAGCAACTTTTACACCAAACATCAGTCTGTTAACTATGTATTGTCCTTTATGAGTGCTCAAAGTTTGAATTTCTGCACTCTCAGCATCCATTTCCAAGTGGAGATAAGCGTTACTTAAATCCAAAGTACAGAACAACTGTCCTCCATTCATTTGAGCAAAAATGTCTTCGATCCGAGGTATTGGATGATGTTCTTCTTTGATTTGTTTATTTACTGTAACCTTGTAATCAGCACATATTCGTATGTTACCATTAGGCTTTACTACAGGTACAATTGGAGTACCCCAATCGGACTTGTCTGTTTTTGAAATGATTCCAGCTTCTTCCAGACGATTCAACTCGAGTTCTACTTTTTCAGTTAATGCATATGGGACTGGACGAGCCTTCACAAAAATAGGTCTTGCCCCTTCAACAAGCTGTAAGTGTGCTTTTTTGTGAGGTATGAGTCCTACTCCTGGTTCAAATAATTCCTTGAATTCATCCAAAAGATCTTCGAGTGCAGTAGATGTAGTATTGTTACTAACTGTTTTAAGTTCTGTCCAATCCAGTTTGACCTCTCTAATCCATTCTCTTCCGAAAATTGCATCGAAATTTTGGTTCACTATGTAGAGTTTCCCAACAAACACCTGATCATTGTAGGTGTATTCTGAATTGAATCCTAAATAACAATGATTGTAAACAAAAACAAAGTTAACTTATTAAACATAACATATGGTATTTTGTTAAACATACAGTATGTTAGAAAAGACACATCAGAAAGAATATTGGAATTTTCTTTGTTACTTTATAATATACCGGGTGTTTCTAAATGAATAGCTGGGTTTTAACGCTTTATAACTTTTATACTATTAAACTTACCACCACAAAATACGCATCAAATGAAAAACCAACTCAAAGAGTTTATGCCTTCCAAAGAAACATTATTTAACAAAATCGATCCAACAGAACTGTAGATTTAATTGTACAAAGTTAAAAAGTAATCTCCAACTTTTTTTCACCACTAGAAATTCGGAGGTTGCTTGACGTTTTTGCAAATAACTTTTAAATGGTGAGGAAATCGACCAATGTGGAAGGTAATATTCCGAAAGAGAATAAAATTTCCTACAATCTACTATTATGCATTTTTTGAAAATACTCAAGAAAGGTACCAAAAATTGCCTCAAAATGAAAAAATTGAAAATCCCTGTCTTCAATGTAGACAATAAACATAGCAAACATTAAATTTCACACTTTTTTATTTTAAGCCAAATTTAGGCTACATTTATTGAGTATTTTCCTGAAATGCATAGTAGTAGATTGTAGGAAATTTTATTTTCTTTCGGAATATTACCTTCCACATTGGTCGATTTCCTCACCATTTAAAAGTTATTTGCAAAAACGTCAAGCAACCTCCGAATTTCTAGTGGTGAAAAAAAGTTGGAGATTACTTTTTAACTTTGTACAATTAAATATACAGTTCTGTTGGATCGATTTTGTTAAATAATGTGTCCTTGGAAGGCATAAACTCTTTGAGTTGCTTTTTTATTTGATGCGTATTTTATGGTGGTAAGTTTAATAGTATAAAAGTTATAAAGCGTTAAAACCCAGCTATTCATTTAGAAACACCCGGTATAATAAGCCGTCATCTCGACAGCATTTCGGGTCATCTTCGGACGAAGCAAATATAAATTGAAATGATAAAATTTGATAACAATAACAAGGATTTCAAATAATAATTTTATATGTACTTTGATATGCTTAAAGCGAAGCAAATTTCCTAATTAAATTCTGTGTTTTTGTGTTTATGTCTGCTGGTAACGCATTAATGTT